CTGTCACATCAAGTGTTAGCATAGGGCGCTAAACCCTTCTGAGGCACAGTTCATTCACTTCTGGTCCCCGGCTCATTAGTCCAACATAGAAACTGACCTAACCCTGAACACCTCCTGTCAGTGAAGAACTACAAACATGTCTTCCTGAGTCCTCCTCTGAAGCGCGTGTGAGATGTGTTCAGTGGTGGTTGATGTTCTTGGTCGCCCCTCAGACGCTAACAGTGAGAGAATCGTTCTACTTTCCCGGGAAGTGGATGTGAAAATAACACAGGCTGAGTAATTTCCTTTTCCCCGCTCTCAGAGCTTTCCTCCTCACCAGGTGGCCATTGTGATACATCTGCATCGCCCCTCCCCCCCTCCTGCCTCCCCTCCTGCCCCCTCTCACCACTACCGCCCCCCGGTGGCTCGTTGCAGGGTAACGGACAATCGCCCTCATCTTCGGCCTCCTCACACCACCGTGCTGATCCGGCTGACAGGCTTCGATTTTGGACCCGCCCCTTGACTTCCTCCTGGGTGCAGGGAGAGCGGGCCAGCCGAGGGGGGGGGCAAGGGGGAATGCGGAGGGGGAGGGGGGATAGCAGAGAGGGGAGGGTACTGGGGGTTGTAGGGCTGCGGCGGCGTCTGGGTGACGAGGCGTGCTGAGGGCGTCTGAGGCGGCGGGGTGGCAAAGATGAAGTGGGTGGATTGGGAGGCGGAGGGGGAGGGGGCTGAGTGGGGAGTGTGTGTGCACGGCGTGGTTGTGAGAGTGTGTGTGAGCGTGCGGATGGGGCGTGGAGTGCGAGATGGTCAGCGGGAGTTTGCCGCCTCCACCCGGCCGCCCCACCCCCGGATGCGAGTGGTAGAGTCCGTGCGGGGTAGTGGGAGTGATGGGGGAGTGTGGGGAGAGCGGCGGTGGCGTGATGAAACCCGACGCCATGTTGTAGCGGGGGTGCTGGGCGCCGCCATGTTGCATCCTCTGGGTATGAGAGGGAGCGCAGCCGGGCGGACCCTGCCGCCGCGGGGCTGAGAACCTGTGCGAAAGGGCGTGATGCTGCGGGACGCTCTGCACGTGGTAACGATGATGGTGGTGGTAAGGCGGTGGCGGAGTCTGCTGCTGCTGGTGCCCAGTAACATTGACTCCTCCTCCTCCACTGTTGCCGTGGCAATACTGAGCGTGCAATGCCTGGAGCTTGGACGGCCCCCCTACCGAACTTCCTCCCCCTCCAACTCCTCCCGAGTCCAACTGAGCGAGGTTGGGCGATGGGGAGGGGCATGGGGAAGGGGAGGATGGGTGGGCGATGGGCGGCGCGGGGGCGGGGTAATGGGGGGGTGATGATATCATCAGGGGACTCGGAGGACCCTGTGGAGTCGGGGACGTCATCGTCAGGGGACCAGGAACTTTCCCTCTCCGGCTGCCGAAGAAGTTCCCCAGCCGGTTGCTGCCAGTCGCTCCTCCCCCAACCACCATCACGCCTCCTCCCCCAACCCCTCCCACGCTCACGAGTGGGGAGGGCGCGACCCCCCCCTGGTTGTGACAGAGCCCCGGCCCACCCCCCACCCCTGTACCGGGGCTCTGAGTAGGGCGGTGTGGCCGGTAAGCTGCTGGAGAGGAAGGGACCATCATAGGGCTGTAGAGACCTCCAGCAGGCAGGGGGCGCTGCTGGTGAGGCCGGGGGCTGCTAATGATGGAACCCTGAGGGGGGGGGGACGAGGAGACAGCGGACAAAAGAACAAAGAGAGGACAAATGAGAAGACACATTTCTAAACATCCAATCACATCCCTGTCAACAACACATGGAGCTCTAATGGTTTTTAATCTAATGCAACAGACTAAAGAAGAACTTCAAGATTACATCATGCAGAAACACTGCAGAAGAAGATTTGGTAGTTTACATGTTGAGAAGGATGAAATACCATCAGAGGAGTGAGGGGAAGAAAAAAAAGAAGAAGAAGAACTGTATGCTGACGATACAGTTTTGTATGTGCATGGTTTAACAAAAGCAGAAGTTGCTTCAAAACTAACAAAAATAGCTTAATCAGTACTGTCTCCAACTTAACGTGTCTAAAACTGTTGGTATATTCTTCACTAAAATAAATGACTCAAACCAGATATCAGATCCAGATATACTTGTGTCAGGAGAAAAACTACAGATTGTAAAAGAATTCAAATACCTTGGCATTATACTTGACTCTAACCTGAACTTTAAAGCACATGTAAAAAAAGTCTGTAAACAAATTAAATTTAACCTTGCCAACTTCAGATTTATCAGAAACTCCATGTCTACTGAAGCAGCCAACATGTACATGCATTCAATGATTTTTTCATATATGACCTACTGTTTGACAAGCTGGTCTCAGGCAAGTCACACCACATTAAAACCACTACAGTCTTTGTATAAACAGACAATAAAAGTTTTAGACAAAAAACCAAAGCAATTCCACCACTGTTCAATCCTCAGAAAATACAACCTCCTGAGCTGGGAGAACATGATTAAACACAAAAATGCTCCTTTATAAAATCTCACATGGTTTGGCCCCTCCCCCACTCAGAGAGTTTGTAAGCATATGAACAAACACACATCACTTCAGGAGGGGTGTCTCAAGAGATGATTGCATTATTCCTCTAAGGAAGTGTGTTTTTAGTCAGTCTGCCTTTTCTGTTCCAGCCTCACGTGAATGGAAAAACATCCCAACAGTTATCAGAGAGAGCAACACATATCGTTCATTTAGTTCACATCTGAAACACTGGCTATTTGATAACCACATCTGCCAGCACTAAACCTGTTCCGCTCGCTGCTGCCCCCTTGTGTCTGGTTGTTGATGAATGTGTCCTGTTTTTTAAATGACTGTGGCCTGCGTGTTGTTGTCTGTTGAGGTGAGCTTCAGGTATAGCTCACTCGATGTTTTATATGTGGTCTTGTGTAATTTGTAATTTCTACGTGTTTATTGTATATTGTGTTACATGTTGTCTTGTTGTGTGCACGTTACAGTTACTTTAGTAGGTTATTGGATACGTGCTTTTACCAATACTTGTTTTTGTAGCTTTTAGCAATGTTTGAATTTTTTTTTTTTTTTAGGGAGCTTTTTATAAAATCTGGCCAGGGACAACAGATGAAAATTAGCCTTTTGGCTAGCTCTGGCATATTTACAGAAATGTTTATTAATATGCAATGTCCCTGTAAAATAAAAAGAAAAAAGAAAAGAAAAAAAAAGAAGAAGGAGAAGAAGGAGAAGAAGGAGGAGAAGAAGAAGAAGGAGGTCACAGAGAAATCAAAGCTGTAATCAAAGCATGCAGTCAGACATGTGATTGACATGCTGCGGCGGCATGCTGGGGGGATGTGGCTTTAAGCCCCCCCCCCCAACAAACTTACTTCAATGGTACTGTCCAATGACCCCACACTGTTCCTACGACCTCGCTTCCCTGTTACCCAATCAGAATGAGGCAGGGTTAAAACTCCATCGTCAAGAAAAAACAAACCACAAAAAGTTATTTTACCAAATCAGAAGCAAACAGAGACATCAGGGCGGGTCTTCAGAGCCCTGCTCAGACCAGGACCGGGGTCCCTGACCTGCTGCCGCCTACACAGACCAGGACCGGGGTCCCTGACCTGCTGCCGCCTACACAGACCAGGACCAGGCCCAGGTCTGTGTAGGCGGCAGGATTTAAACAGGATCAGGATTGTCACCTTATGTTCACCTTACTTATTTACAGTCAGTCATACATGCTTATTTGTGATTTGTCTTTATTTGAGTTGTTAGGGTTCATCTACTGGGGGGGCAGGAGCTCAGTCTGTAGGGTTGGGAATCTGAGGGTTGCCAATTCAAGTCCCAGCACAGACCAAGTCCAGATATTAATACATGTCCATAGGATCCTGTTTGTGCATGTGTGTGTGTATTTCAGACTATGTTTGTGTAGCATGTTCATTAAACTGAGTGTAAAACTGAATTTCCCCTCATGAGATAAATAAAGTATAAATTATTATTATTATTATTATTATTATTGTCATTATTATTATTGTTATTATTGTTATTGTCACCTGATGACTACAGGTCATATTAAGATATAAGGGCAGAATGCAAACTGACATTTATCAACATGTCTAATAAGAACTCCAAACACACTTTATTCATGTTGTACTATTTGTATCTGTCCAGCAGGGGGAGACAAACTATCACAGGTCTGAACATGACTTCCATCCCTTTTCTTTATTTTACCATTTTAGATTTCAGTAATCTTTCAGAGGCTCCGAGTTAGTGAGTCACAGTTTGTCTGTTTTCAGACTCTCGCTCTCGTCTCAGCCAATCACAGAGAAGGTGTAATGGGGGGGTACACACTCGGAGCGTGCAACTGTACCTCAAATGACCTCCGATGACCTCTGATGACCTCACCTGTTTCTGAGAGGTCTCGCAGTGAGGAGCTGAGTGCTGTGCGTTTGAGTCCGTCCACAGAGGCGTAAGTGTCATCCAGGCTCGGTCTACCCAGAATGCCGTTCACCACCTCGCCCTTCATGGGGCCGGTGTTGGCCATGCCCCCCTGCGCCACCCCTCCTCCTGGTCCTCCCCCCGTCAACACACCGGGACGCATCACACCTTTCTGTTTCTCCAGCTCGGCTGGAGGAGAGAAAAGACGGACATACATAGTGCTGTTAGCTCCTCCCCCTTTTAGACCACGTTCATCTGGAGTCCTTACTCCCCCCCCCCCCCCCACACACTTACACTCCACTCTGTACTTCTCCATGTCCCCCCCCCTCACTTACATTCCACCCTGTACTTCTCCATGTCCCCCCCCCTCACTTACACTCCACCCTGTACTTCTCCATGTCCCCCCCACACTTACACTCCACCCTGTACTTCTCCATGTCCCCCCCCTCACTTACACTCCACCCTGTACTTCTCCATGTCCCCCCCTCACTTACACTCCACCCTGTACTTCTCCATGTCCCCCCCTCACTTACACTCCACCCTGTACTTCTCCATGTCCCCCCCACACTTACACTCCACCCTGTACTTCTCCATGTCCCCCCCCTCACTTACACTCCACCTGTACTTCTCCATGTCCCCCCCCACTTACACTCCACCCTGTACTTCTCCATGTCCCCCCCCACACTTACACTCCACCCTGTACTTCTCCATGTCCCCCCCACACTTACACTCCACCCTGTACTTCTCCATGTCCCCCACACTTACACTCCACCCTGTACTTCTCCATGTCCCCCCCTCACTTACACTCCACCCTGTACTTCTCCATGTCCCCCCCCACACTTACACTCCACTCTGTACTTCTCCATGTCCCCCCCTCACTTACACTCCACTCTGTACTTCTCCATGTCCCCCCCTCACTTACACTCCACCTGTACTTCTCCATGTCCCCCCCTCACTTACACTCCACCCTGTACTTCTCCATGTCCCCCCCACTTACACTCCACTCTGTACTTCTCCATGTCCCCCCCCCTCACTTACACTCCACTCTGTACTTCTCCATGTCCCCCCCACACTTACACTCCACTCTGTACTTCTCCATGTCCCCCCCCTCACTTACACTCCACCCTGTACTTCTCCATGTCCCCCCCACACTTACACTCCACCCTGTACTTCTCCATGTCCCCCCCCTCACTTACACTCCACCTGTACTTCTCCATGTCCCCCCCCTCACTTACACTCCACTCTGTACTTCTCCATGTCCCCCCCTCACTTACACTCCACCCTGTACTTCTCCATGTCCCCCCCCTCACTTACACTCCACCCTGTACTTCTCCATGTCCCCCCCCACACTTACACTCCACCCTGTACTTCTCCATGTCCCCCCCCACACTTACACTCCACTCTGTACTTCTCCATGTCCCCCCCCACACTTACACTCCACCCTGTACTTCTCCATGTCCCCCCCCACACTTACACTCCACTCTGTACTTCTCCATGTCCCCCCCCACACTTACACTCCACCCTGTACTTCTCCATGTCCCCCCCCCACACTTACACTCCACCCTGTACTTCTCCATGTCCCCCCCCCACACTTACACTCCACTCTGTACTTCTCCATGTCCCCCCCCACTTACACTCCACTCTGTACTTCTCCATGTCCCCCCCCACACTTACACTCCACCTGTACTTCTCCATGTCCCCCCCCCACTTACACTCCACTCTGTACTTCTCCATGTCCCCCCCACACTTACACTCCACCCTGTACTTCTCCATGTCCCCCCCCACACTTACACTCCACTCTGTACTTCTCCATGTCCCCCCCCACACTTACACTCCACTCTGTACTTCTCCATGTCCCCCCCCCACACTTACACTCCACCCTGTACTTCTCCATGTCCCCCCCCACACTTACACTCCACCCTGTACTTCTCCATGTCCCCCCCCACACTTACACTCCACCTGTACTTCTCCATGTCCCCCCCCCCCTCACTTACACTCCACCCTGTACTTCTCCATGTCCCCCCCCCTCACTTACACTCCACCCTGTACTTCTCCATGTCCCCCCCCCACACTTACACTCCACCCTGTACTTCTCCATGTCCCCCCCCCACACTTACACTCCACCCTGTACTTCTCCATGTCCCCCCCCACACTTACACTCCACCCTGTACTTCTCCATGTCCCCCCCACACTTACACTCCACCCTGTACTTCTCCATGTCCCCCCCCTCACTTACACTCCACCCTGTACTTCTCCATGTCCCCCCCCCTCACTTACACTCCACCCTGTACTTCTCCATGTCCCCCCCCTCACTTACACTCCACCCTGTACTTCTCCATGTCCCCCCCCCTCACTTACACTCCACCCTGTACTTCTCCATGTCCCCCCTCACTTACACTCCACTCTGTACTTCTCCATGTCCCCCCCCACACTTACACTCCACTCTGTACTTCTCCATGTCCCCCCCCCACTTACACTCCACCCTGTACTTCTCCATGTCCCCCCCCCACACTTACACTCCACTCTGTACTTCTCCATGTCCCCCCCCTCACTTACACTCCACCCTGTACTTCTCCATGTCCCCCCCCCCCACTTACACTCCACCCTGTACTTCTCCATGTCCCCCCCCCTCACTTACACTCCACCCTGTACTTCTCCATGTCCCCCCCCTCACTTACACTCCACCCTGTACTTCTCCATGTCCCCCCCCCCCACTTACACTCCACCCTGTACTTCTCCATGTCCCCCCCTCACTTACACTCCACCCTGTACTTCTCCATGTCCCCCCCCCACACTTACACTCCACCCTGTACTTCTCCATGTCCCCCCCCACTTACACTCCACCCTGTACTTCTCCATGTCCCCCCCCCACTTACACTCCACCCTGTACTTCTCCATGTCCCCCCCCCACTTACACTCCACCCTGTACTTCTCCATGTCCCCCCCTCACTTACACTCCACCCTGTACTTCTCCATGTCCCCCCCTCACTTACACTCCACCCTGTACTTCTCCATGTCCTGGACCTCAGCGATGCTCTCTCGGAGGTCGGAGGTGAAGCGAGCTCGGTCCTGCTGACTTGGCGCCGTGAACACGATCAGAACCTTTCTCTCTCCTCCAGGGTTCGCTGTCGTCAGTCTGATACCGTGAGGGTAGTCTGTGTGAGACAACACACACACACACACACACACACACACACACACACACACACACACACACACACACTATGTTACCTGGCTGTGCCGGTCTGATCAACAGAACTGAAATGAGGTTTTTGGTCGTCTCCATGAGAAAGCGGCTGAAATGAGTCAGAGCAGAACATCCCCGTGTTACTATATACACACACACACACACACACACACACACACACACACACACACACACACACACACACACACACACACACACACACACACACACACCTTAACTTCCACCTACATGACAAACTGATACACACAGAGTTGTGCACCCACGCACAAAGGAAGAAAACACACACAGTATGTACCCACCCACACACATTTATGAACACACACACACACACACACACACACACACACACACACACACACACACACACACACACACAGCAGCATGGACGTAGATTGTGCTGATGAATCATATGGGACAATCTGTCGTGGTCACAGTCATCACTGCAATCTGCCAGCTTCCATTTAACTCCAACTGGAGGAGTAGAACCGTCAACAACAACAACTAAATAACTAAACAACAACTAACAATAACTAACAACAACTAAACAACAACAACTAAACAACAACTAAACAACAACAACTAAACAACAACTAAACAACAACAACTAAACAACAACTGAACAACAACCAACAACTAAACAACAAGTAACAACAACTAAACAACTAAATAACAAAAACTAAACAACAACTAAACAACAACTAAACAACAACAACTAAACAACATCTAAACAACATCTAAACAGCAACATCTAAACAACAACAACAACAACAACTAAACAACAACAACTAAACAACAACATCTAAACAACAACAACTAAACAACAACATCTAAACAACAACTAAACAACAACAACAACTAATCAACAACAACTAAACAATAACATCTAAACAACAACTAAACAACAACTAAACAACAACAACTAAACAACAACTAAACAACAACATCCAAACAACAACTAAACAACAACAACTAAACAACAACAACAACAACTAATCAACAACAACTAAACAACAACATCTAAACAACAACTAAACAACAACTAAACAACAACTGAACAACAACCAACAACTAAACAACAAGTAACAACAACTAAACAACAACTAAACAACTAAATAACAAAAACTAAACAACAACTAAACAACAACATCTAAACAACAACTAAACAACAACAACAACAACTAAACAACAACAACAACTAAACAACAACAACTAAACAACAACCTCTAAACAACAACTAAACAACAACAACTAAACAACAACATCTAAACAACAACTAAACAACAACTGAACAACAACCAACAACTAAACAACAAGTAACAACAACTAAACAACTAAATAACAAAAACTAAACAACAACTAAACAACAACATCTAAACAACAACTAAACAACAACAACTAAACAACAACATCTAAACAACAACAACAACTAAACAACAACAACAACTAAACAACAACTAAACAACAACAACTAAACAACAACATCTAAACAACAACAACTAAACAACAACATCTAAACAACAACTAAACAACAACAACTAAACAACAACATCCAAACAACAACTAAACAACAACAACTAAACAACAACAACTAATCAACAACAACTAAACAACAACATCTAAACAACAACTAAACAACAACAACTAAACAACAACCACAACTAATCAACAACAACTAAACAATAACAACTAAACAACAACTAAACAACAACTAAACAACAACTAAACAACAACTGAACAACAACCAACAAGTAAACAACAACAACAACAACTAAACAACAACTAAACAACAACTGAACAACAACCAACAAGTAAACAACAAGTAACAACAACTAAACAACAACTAAACAACAACATCTAAACAACAACTAAACAACAACATCTAAACAACAACATCTAAACAACAACAACAACTAAACAACAACAACAACTAAACAACAACTAAACAACAACAACTAAACAACAACATCTAAACAACAACAACTAAACAACAACATCTAAACAACAACTAAACAACAACAACTAAACAACAACATCCAAACAACAACTAAACAACAACAACTAAACAACAACTAAACAACAACTGAACAACAACCAACAAGTAAACAACAACAACAACTAAACAACAACTAAACAACAACTAAACAACAACTGAACAACAACCAACAAGTAAACAACAAGTAACAACAACTAAACAACAACTAAACAACAACATCTAAACAACAACTAAACAACAACAACTAAACAACAACATCTAAACAACAACAACAACTAAACAACAACAACAACTAAACAACAACTCAACAACAACAACTAAACAACAACATCTAAACAACAACAACTAAACAACAACATCTAAACAACAACTAAACAACAACAACTAAACAACAACATCCAAACAACAACTAAACAACAACAACTAAACAACAACATCTAAACAACAACAACAACTAAACAACAACAACAACTAAACAACAACTAAACAACAACAACTAAACAACAACATCTAAACAACAACAACTAAACAACAACATCTAAACAACAACTAAACAACAACAACTAAACAACAACATCCAAACAACAACTAAACAACAACAACTAAACAACAACAACTAATCAACAACAACTAAACAACAACATCTAAACAACAACTAAACAACAACAACTAAACAACAACCACAACTAATCAACAACAACTAAACAATAACAACTAAACAACAACTAAACAACAACTAAACAACAACTAAACAACAACTGAACAACAACCAACAAGTAAACAACAACAACAACAACTAAACAACAACTAAACAACAACTAAACAACAACTGAACAACAACCAACAAGTAAACAACAAGTAACAACAACTAAACAACAACTAAACAACAACATCTAAACAACAACTAAACAACAACAACTAAACAACAACATCTAAACAACAACAACAACTAAACAACAACAACAACTAAACAACAACTAAACAACAACAACTAAACAACAACATCTAAACAACAACAACTAAACAACAACATCTAAACAACAACTAAACAACAACAACTAAACAACAACATCCAAACAACAACTAAACAACAACAACTAAACAACAACTAAACAACAACTGAACAACAACCAACAAGTAAACAACAACAACAACAACTAAACAACAACTAAACAACAACTAAACAACAACTGAACAACAACCAACAAGTAAACAACAAGTAACAACAACTAAACAACAACTAAACAACAACATCTAAACAACAACTAAACAACAACAACTAAACAACAACATCTAAACAACAACAACAACTAAACAACAACAACAACTAAACAACAACTAAACAACAACAACTAAACAACAACATCTAAACAACAACAACTAAACAACAACATCTAAACAACAACTAAACAACAACAACTAAACAACAACATCCAAACAACAACTAAACAACAACAACTAAACAACAACAACTAATCAACAACAACTAAACAACAACATCTAAACAACAACTAAACAACAACAACTAAACAACAACCACAACTAAACAATAACAACTAAACAACAACTAAACAACAACTAAACAACAACTAAACAACAACTGAACAACAACCAACAAGTAAACAACAAGTAACAACAACTAAACAACAACTAAACAACTAAATACCAAAAACTAAACAACAACTAAACAACAACATCTAAACAACAACTAAACAACAACAACTAAACAACATCTAAACAACAACTAAACAACAACAACAACAACAACTAAACAACAACATCTAAACAACAACAACAACTAAACAACAACAACTAAACAACAACCTCTAAACAACAACTAAACAACAACATCTAAACAACAACTAAACAACAACTAAACAACAACTAAACAACAACAGGAGTAAAGTGAGTATTTATTAATCTATGAAACATTTCCACGCGGGACAGAGTCTCAGGTAAAATCCAGACTGAAGCCTTAAAGGTGCATTCAGGTACTTTTACGTTTACACGATATTTAATCGACTTTTAGGAACAGCTACTCCTTCCTACAACCGGAGGAAGCTTAAAGTTGTTGATTTTTAATCATCAGGCTGAGATTGTTGTTTTCATTTGACAGCTCAATCAACCAGCTGCTCATTCTGTCTCTTCAGACACAGGCAGGATGAACACACCTCACATTTAATGTTTAAATCATCTTTAGG